AGATTGAAAGAAAATATATTTTATTTCTATAAAAACAAAATTATATTTTGTTTTTAAATTTTAACTTTGAAAAAAAAGGAATTAGGTTTATTACACAATCTTTGGATTTATATATATTATTGTACATTGGCATAAAGCTAAGATAACTTTTGACTTCTATGAGTTTATGACGTAGGTATATGCATTACATCAATAACCTGATAGGTACCTTTTATTAAACAACAAACACAAATTCAAGCTAAACTTTTTCAGTTTAATACAATTTTTGAGAAGTTTTGTGGTAATAATTGCGATGTTTAAAATAAATCTCACCCTTTCATATGGTATACTGTTTTTTCCGAAGTTAATTTTAAATTTCCATTTTCTGAAACGTCATAATTGTTGAACAAATCTTATTCGGAATTTATGTAAGACATATTGTAGTGTTTAATGTGTTGGAAACTCTAACTTGGAGTGCTTATGGACTTGTAAGGTAAAACGAAATCCGTTTAAACATATGTAAACAAAACGCGTTCTTACGCCCCCTCGATAATTATAATATACGTACACCATGCATTACATTATAATTATAATATATTATAATAACTCTGTTTGTCGGCGAATCAAGGCGAGTTGTAGGTATCTACATAACGTGGTGTTTTGTGCACCATGAAAATCTCACGTTTTTTGAGCTGCGGCTGTAGTAGGTACATAATAACAATATAATGATACATATACACGCGTAAGTGCTCGTTATTATGACGTCAATCCGGAAAACGTGATTCCAGGCGACGCTACAGTTTATTCTGGTTTACTGGGCTAATAAGCTCGTTACACAATATAATATACCTATTACCTGTATAACATACGTCGTGTGTCGACTGGAAAAACGAAATCATATTTCTTCGAACCGAACAAAAATAGCTTGCAAAGGTCCAATAGCCTCTAATGAAAAATAAAGAAAAATCCGAAAGGGAATACAATTACATAAAATATGTTATATCAATATCATATCTAGTGTGTTCTAAAAATATTGTATTGTAGTTGTTATTGTTACGACTTTTATAGATAAATGGTCACAAGTAAGTTTATTTGTATACAATAAACTAGATTATATATAGTACGTAGATTATTGTTATGAGAGACATTCATCATTCGGGTCAGAGTTTTTGCAAATTGCACACTTGCTTTTCGTGCCGCAGATGACGTACGTGTAGCACCTGTGGTAATAATTTATATCTTTGTTATTATCTTTATCACTACCCACTGAGGATGGTATGCAGAGTGAAGATTTACGATTTCAATGACTGAATCGTTTACAAGTTATAGTCTATCTAACGTAGATTATACGAGTTATGACATAGTCAATGCGTGATAGTTTCTGAAGTAAATCAGAATTACAAAATAGTTTTCGACCTGCAGTAACCACGATCTGTCGCAAATTTAATGGACCGTTGTTCAGATTTTCGCCTTCTGGTACGGTTAACTAAACCCATTCAGTGGTATGGCATAGACTACTACATGTCTCGACACTGGCAACTGGCAATAGAGCATCGTATATTATGCGGTTATGAGAACGAACGTCGCTCGTGGTGTTTTTTTAGGTACAATATTTTCAAACGATGAGTCCGTATTGCGGTGGGTGGCCATTAATAGGTAGCTACCAAGAAAGTATTCAATATAATTGCTGGCAAGCATAAGCAGACGCGATACGTTTCGGTGAGTATGAATACATTGATTTCCAACGATGCTGGGCCATCCCTAAAATCGACCACCAGAGGTGCTCCATTCAGTGTCGTCTGAGTTGATTTTTTAATATTAACCTTGTAGTTAAACCGTTACTAGCATTTTGTTACCGACGAGCCTATAGTACCTTATACACCGATGGCCGATACACCGAAATACTGACACCGTGCATTGTGAAGCTTTCAATGCCCTAATCTTGAACATTGATTATTGGTAGCAGCAAACCAAGCTCACCTCTTCAAACTTCGTGTCTTCATACACCCGGGTTTACCGTAATTCACATCATGGCCGTCTGAAATCGATTTTACAAATTCGGATGCATACTATTCGAGCCACATCTCTCTGCACACAGTGGTCTGAAACATAAAGTTAAAAACAAATTTTAAAAACTCATCAACCCATGCGAATATAACATACAATGTATAAATAACACCTGCAGATGGAAATAAAAATCAATGGTTGGTGATGTGCTATATAATATAATAATATACCTATAATATATGATCACCACGTAGGTATTTACATTTCACATAAATGTATCACAACTAAGCTCACCTGCTTTTCGAATAAATTGTTTGATGTAGTAGCAAGTGATGATTATATACAGTGACGTAAGCTGCGGTATACGTAAAATGGCCGAATACGCAGTTATAAGAATGTAGGTGTGGCATCTTTTATATTGATTTTGTATTGTGCTGCAGTGCCTAGTAATTTGTAGATTATATCATAGGAGTGAGGAATGGGTTTTTAATTATTAACGAATATTCATCAAAAAAATAGAAAAAATAGTTTTAATTCTGGTCTAAGACATACAAAAAGGTTTATAGATGATAACTGAACTGCAAGTAATACTCCGCGCACCACCAAAATAAAATATATTATACGTATGTATTGTTGTTGCTGAATAAATTATTATTATTATTAATATTAATATACATATATGCATATATTGTTGGTACACCGTTGTATTATATTACATATTATAACTGATGTTTCACATGTGAATTTTATTTATTAAGTACCCATATTTAATATTACAGTATAACACTCACGTATTGTAGTGAATAACGATATAACATTATACAACAATTGTCATGATGATATTAATATTATAGCTGTGTCCATGGATGATCTATAATCTATGTATACACAGTACACACACGCCTTATCCATTCCAGTCCTTCGATTTCGATCGGCGTCCGTCGTTATAATATTAATATATTATTATCATATCATTATTGGTATTATAGCCGTATAGGTAGGTACTTATTATAGGTATAAACCGCGTGCAACTGGTTCGTCCCCGAAAGCCGTCAAAATATGTATTGTTATTATTATTAAATTATAAGTTATAACAGCTAATAATCGGTATACATGCAACGGGTGCGCCGGGTAATAATACAATTTAGTTCACCGAGGCCGCTTGTATATAGAGTATTTTACGAATCTCCATTGATGGTTCTCCTATGACGATTGCCATTTCTAGAGACTAGAAGGATGCAAACGTATCTCTTAGATTCATTTCAAAGGATACGTCATACGAGTGATGGTTATGCGGGAAGACGAGTATTTGAATAGACTTCAGACACTTAATAAGGGCTGCAGTATCTTTATTGGGTGGTGCATCTGATTGTACTGTATTTTTGTCGTATAGTCTTGAAGATATTTTATAAACCAGATCTATATGCATATTAAACTTCCAGCCCAACTAAGAGTTATACAAATTAAAAAAAATCATTCAAATTCCCCCTCTCAGACTAACCCCTTCTACACTACACAGCATCTTGAAGCAATTTAAAATATTATGCCTTTTCTTTAAAAAATGAGTACCTACATATTGTCGGCCCAATTTGTATTGATCTATGAGGTTCACTTAAAATCATGAATCATACAATCCAGATAAAATCATAGTAAAACAAAAAAAAGTCTAAAGCACAAAAATACCGGTTTGATAAAAATATTTATTAGCATAGTATACATGAGTAATGTTAAAAGTGTCAAGTACACAGGATCCTGCAAAATAATATTTTGTATCTGTTTATGGCCATATACCTATACGGCTGTACCTAAATATCATCTATAGTCTATACAATTTTATTTCGAAGACTGCATTTTGTGGAGAAAATATATTATAGATGAACAGATTCTTTAAACCCGTATATAGTGATTAGGGGCCGTTTCGTAAGGTTCGTTTTAAGCAAGTAAATTATATAATATATATAAATATAGTGTAATAAAATAAAAAACAAAAATGACCACTAGCATACCATACTACCATACGTCATGATAATGTGAATTCGAGCCTAAATGGTAGCGGTCATAATATTTACAAGCGTACGAATCGGATTCCGTGAGTCGTGAGCAACCGCTTATTAAATAATCGGATCGCGTCCGACAGGTGCCGACAGATTTTCCGGTAGGACGCAGCAGTGCACTGCGATATACCGATGATATTATTATATTTTTATTATTCATTTTACATTATCATCAACATCGTCGTCGTCATGAATGTCGGCGTTTTGCGATGGCGCCGCGCAAACTCGAGAATAATGTTATATTATTATAATACGTATCCTACACCTAGGTGCGGGACCCGAAGGCGATCGCTTCGATGTCTCTAGCGCAGAGTGAAATAATTTAATAGTATTACCCTAGATCGTATACGTATATGGATCGCGTAGGTATATAATATGACGGTACATTGGTAGAAATTGTTATTATATTATTATACTCGTTTTGAGTGTTGCCAAAGGGTTGGCTGCACGTTGATATGCGTCCCCGATCGCACTATACAATTCATAAACGTGTTATTATCATGTCCGTTGTTTTTTCCATGTGTAAACAGGTTGACAAGTAAAACTATATACGAGCCCGCGTAAAAGTAAATAAAATATAATAGGTATACTACAACTAATCAACTATTTGTTTATTTATTGTTTTAAATGAGGAAGACGAAATATTTAATGTTTGACGGACTACGTGTCCTGCGTTTTCGCTAGATGTTATAAAAGCGCTTAGGACTTGTTAATGCATCTCGAATATACCAGAAACAAGAGAAGAGTATGGTTTTCTTTTTAAACTAATATTCGATATTAGATCTGATTGGCCGTAACTATAACAGTAATTTGTAGATATTAAATTAAAATGCATAGCTACGACGGTAAAGAATACAACGTTTTTTTTACAAACCTCCCAATTAGTGATAAATTAAAGTTAAATAAAAAATTATAGCAAGACAGATTACTTTTTAAACATGTCAATTTTATGAAAAAAAAATGATAAGTTATCAGTTAAAACTTCCAACAGATTTGATCACAAAGTATACGCTCATGATAGCAGTCGGATGTCTGGTATAACTGTACATCATACTATTTTGTTCTATACAATATATTATTATATCAGCGCAGTCATATTTTTTCCTGTCTGCAAAGTTAACCCCCCTCCCCTCCACTCCGTCACCACAAATCAATGTTTAGAAAATAATTGTATTTTAGAATTCGCAAACTTTTAAAGCGACTCCAAAAGTGAGGATTTTTAAGAGCAGGGAGGGGATCGCATCATTCACCTATAAATAGTATACTGCTATAATCAATAATTTATTTTTACAATACCCTGGACGTATTCATCCGTGTTATTAAATTTTAAATTTTCGCACTCAGTACCATTGTGTATGAAATATACCGCACTGAACATACGTATTTTTGATAATATTACACTAGGTGTTGACGATGTTTCAAACAATAAATATGGTGAACTACGTTGGATCCACTTACGCTATTGGAGCAATCACAACAGTAATAAGTTGTATTTCACCTCAAATATTAAAAAAAAATGAATTGCTTATATGAATATGCCTACTATTATTTAGGGTAGAACAAGTCATATTCACAAAGCAATATTTATTATTGGATTCGGATGCTGTATAGACATAGTTCATCTCATTTTTCATACATCTAAGTAAGTTTTTTAAGTAATTTTAAGTTATACTTACATCATAATATGTATATAGTTACTTTAACACTATAATATTATAAACATTTTGTTAGATCGAGTTGGGTTTTTGTCAAAGTCGTTCAATTTCTTATACGTCTCCTGGGTAAGTATACTAAGTACCTAAGTTATATTATATGCATATTGCACATTGTTAACATAATTTAATATACTAATATGGATAGAATAATATACCCCCAAATATAAGCTAAATGGAAACATAATTTTAAGTATTCTAGGACTAAAAAAAAATAAAAACAAGTAACTAAAAATTATTAGTAGTTCTTAGTTCTTACTAAAATATGTATGATTACATGATTATTATAAACTGCATATAAAATTAGTTGGTCAATTTTCGAGAACATTTAAAATTATTTAGTTTATAATAGCTTATTTAGTGTCTTATTATAGGTGTCTCATTCGAAATCGTAACTATATTGTCGTTACATTGTTACTGGAAGTACACTGAAGCAATACAAAAACAACCGGAAAAAACATGGGTTCAACATAAATTGGGTCAGGTATTTTCCATATTTTCCAACAATTAAGTGTACATAAAACATGGATCAGCACCATATGTCATAAAACAAAGAAGTGTAGTGCAGTGTTGGACCAGTAGGTATAGCATCACCTGTACTAAGTACACTATTTTATAATTTATAAGTAATATAGAACAATTTTTTTTTTATCTGAATTCATGTGTGTCACTTTCGTTCTTTTGAATATAACATAATATACCTCTCTAATAGTAATTACTAATTAGTCATATTATATAAAGAACATACATTATCTTTTTTTAATTGAAAAATTAACAATCTATGCTTATATAGCAAAAAAAAAAAAAATATTAAGATAGAATATGTACAAGTATGAAATGAATATGATATGAGGATGGATTCCATAGAGTGATAGAACCCTACATGGTTATTCTTATTATTATTATTATTATTTTAGACCGTTGGCATTCCAAAGTATTATTTTTAATATTATATTTAGGTCAATTGATTATTGTCCATCTTTCATAAGTTTGTTAATGACGCAGTGGTAAGTAATGAAACTAGAAGATTTAATATTAATTTAATAACTGCAATTTCAATGCTATTTTGGAATTGTTAGATATATTGTTGGGAGGAAAATTTTTGTTTTTTGTTGTTGTTGTGAATTAGATATATTTCGGGTTAAATTGGGAAAGTATGAAGTGTATTATCAAAAGAATGTCCCAAATCATTTACAACTTGGCAGTAACTTACATTTGGTTTTGAAATATTTATTTTAAGTACCTATTGTTTTAACATAATGAAGGCGTTGAAGTTCTTTGTGGAGTTGACATCCTCGGTAGTTGGCTGTATGATTTTCATCACAGAGGGTACAGACTGGTGAATGGTCCTTGGCATATTTAGTGCTGAGGGTAATTAGCCGGATGGTTGGTGGTCCATTTTACACATCTCGAGGGTGGGTGCAGTAATATTTGGAGTGTATATTCTTGGCAGTTTATAAATTGTACAACGGTGCATTTTTCATATGACTTCTCAGTTTTTATTTTTGTCTTTAATATAGAATTGGCATACAAAATAACTTGGTTAATTTCAGCAGGTTCTAAATCAACGAAAAAAATTAGGAGCTAATTTTTGTTGCTTTTGTTTAGAACATTAATAACGTTACTGACCATAAATCCCCCTATTCTTACGGTAGTATGTAAATAAAACTTAACTTTTAACATTTTATTATGAGGAGAGTATTAAATCGCTTTGATGTGTCTAATGTATTAATATCAATTTAAGCTAGTGTGTAATTTGTTATTGATTTAACAAAAGCCACAAATTGAAACACAGTTTCCGTTTTCTAATGTTTGAACATTTTCACACAAAATACGTAACAGCCAAATGGACTAAAAGTGTCATAATCTATTAAGTATTAATTCTATCATGCTGTATTTGACGTGTCACTTTTCCGGTTTTGTTCGATTAGACCGAAACTCTTCTGCAATCGTAATATCTGCACATAGAGTGATTGAGTGAAATCGAGTATAATTAAATGCATTCTTCCCAAAGTCTTTGGACTTAAATCGTGATAGCGGTCTTATAGATCTCCCAATATTTATGGAATCGTGGCTGCCCTTAGACTATAGAAGTTTAATAAATAATACCGACTCCCCCTCATCAATGCTTCCAGCGAGATAAGAATTTATGTTATCATTTTTACTTAGCGATTTAGTATATTGATCATAAAAGTTTATGTTGGGTTAGATTTTGTGACAAGACTTGTTAATAAGGCCACTTATTATATTCTAGAGACATTTACATGAACTATTTGCAAAATCGTATATGAATATTCAAAGCGTACATTTATAGCGAAGTACCTGCATGCTACTAAATCTATTTAGTTATTGTTTTTTGGAACTTTTTTGATTGAATTATTTGCCAGGATTCAGATAGGGTAATATTTATATAACTTTTGTTTGATAACGAGATTTGATTTTTTTTTTTTACAGAAATCTTACCTAAGTGATGAGTAACTCTAATATACATATTGATGAGGGGAAGTAATGCTAACGCGGTCCCCTCTCTGGTTCTCGATACCACAAAAAAAAAAAAAAAATATACATATTGATAGTAAATTTGTTTACTTATCGAAAATTATATCAATTTAATTAATAAACATGAATACATAAAAACACAAATAAATTAATAGCTTATTATTTCTACATGTTTTCTTTGACATCCCAAAGAAATAATAACAGTTGTAGATCTAATCAGTTTTCTATTATATAACATATGGACAAATATATAATATATACATAATTGTTAAACCAAAATATGTATCGTTAATATCCCGCTTTGAATTTAAAAGTGATGAACTAAAAAAATACTAATAAAATAAAAATTTAAAAATTCTAGTGTTGAGTTATCAAAAATCAAAGTTTTGAGTAAACTCTTAAAATTGTGTAGGTAATTGTTTTTTTTTTTCAAAAATAAAAAAAATTGACCTAGTTTTTTAGTATCTTGCAGGGCAGTAACATCTCTTTGTACACACATTTTAAATTACATTATTTTTAAATAAATTCAAAAATTTTATAATGATGTGTTATTATTGTTTTTAATAATACATTTATTTAGATATTACTTCTAGTCTTGTACAATATTTAAGACTTGTACAACTTAAATCACGATTCACGACTAAACATCACCAAGTGAAGATTCTAATCAGCGTTGATTGTATATTTTATTTAAGCTTGTCCTTATTTTCCTCTGCAGTAAGTAGAAACACTCCGCATTCGTTTGTATCACCCGTGAAAATAATCAAATTTTTTTTAATAATTTTATTTTAGTTTATTTGACATAATAATTTTAAGTCAATAAATTTAGTTATTAGAAATGCAATTAATAATTTTATCTTAGGCTAATTTGACATCCTACGTATTAGCACTTGACATTATACATTTAAACATTTATAGACGTAGACTTTACACAGGTTTTTGTTTTCCTTTGTCTGGATGTATGCTATAAACAAATGTAATATATTAATTATATACATTTATATCGAATGACTGAATCGATAGATTAATATAAAAGGTATATAATATGACATAATGTTTGGTTCACGTCTAACGTTTGTTAAATATTAAATGTTCTATTCCTAATCATCCTAATCACTTACGAAGTATCACCCTTTAAAATTCGCTCAGCAGTTAAAATGAATTAAGAGTAAAAACTATATATAGAAGTCTATCGGCATGATTAATCATAATTGTTATTATTGACGTTCCGAACGTAAAACGTGCAAATTAAATTATAATAATAATTTAATTGTTTTGGAATTAATGAGACCCAATTAAATCCAAAATGTCTAGCCATCAGATTGTTGTCTTGAAATACCGCTCAATTATTAACGATTACCTGTACATTGTTCGAGTAAGAACAAAACGTTATGTTATTATGATTAGTATATTATTATTATTACTTTGTGCCTGTATTTATCGAACGCACATGTGCTAATCTATTGTATTTGTTGGGCATATGAACGATACATAATTCTTTAACACAATATATCTATATGCACACGGTACACAAAATATAAAAGATTTTTGCCCACACATGTTTACATTGAATGGACGTCCGGTATACTTTCTACGCCACCTCCATTGACAATAGATTAATGCGCGACTTAGGTCTGGGTACAGGCAAATCATCGAGACTGCACGTTGAAACGTATGCACAGAAGATATGATTATTAATCTAGTAAGTCGGTTGAGTAGAAATATAGGGAACTATTTGCTTGTGAAAATATCATAATTCATTTTTATCGGTTTCAGAAAAACTGTTGAATACCTATTGAAAAAATTAATAAAACAATAACAATAATTTAATTAACCGGTAATAACAAGCTCCTCATAATTGCTTTTGTACATATTTTTTTAAAAGCTTATTTTGGCTTTTGAGTTATTTGGAAATTACTATAGGTAGAAGAATTGATGGTAAAATACTCAAAAAACTATTTATTTTAGAAAATTTCAATTTTCAGACTAAAATGTTTAATAATTCAGCATTGTAGACTTATTTATTATAATTCTATTTTAGTACGAAAAATACACTACATTTATTAGGAAGCATAATATTATATTGTACTTTACAAACAAAACAGGTACCTTAAAATACAATTATTTTGTACGTTTGTCAACATCGATGTGACATCTATTTGACTACACGTCTGATGTAGATGAAAAATGAAATTTAAAAAAAATTACATTTCAAATATGCATACATATGCATTTAACCTCGCATAATATTATTGTGTTTCACATGACATGACATAACGAAAAGTAGTGCAAGCAATACTTTGCTAAAAACGTAAATACCTTAGACGAAGATGTATGCGTATCAATATGTTTGTAATTTTGTATATTATATCAAACAATTACAGTTGAACAGGATCGATTACTACCTATATATATATTTATTAATATAGCGACTATATTTTTTCCACCTTATTCTTTTTGCCTGCTGGCAAATAGTAAAGTAGTAAAACGCTAGGGTATATTTATTACAGTATTTGCGATTAGTTTATTATTTTCGTCCTCGATTTCAGTATATTAGCCTATAGGCCACATATTATATTATGAATAATAATATCACAGCCGAGCTGATAATAACATTATAACGGACTGCGCACACACACCTGTGGCTGTAATATACACCTCTATAATACACTTAAGCATAATCACTGACAGCGTCGGGGTGGAGGAAAAACCAAGACTCAACGGATGACGGATGCTGCGGATATGACGACTGGGTCGTTGGAAATAATTTATTATAATACGGTGTGCAGGGCATGTTGTCATCGGTTATTATTTTAAAAAAAGAAGAAAGTCTCATTCGTCTGAGAAAAACCACAATTAATCGAGACGCGTTTGTCCCGGAGGCGCGTTAACGTCTTCACTACATGTACCTACATCTAGTGTTTTTAAGCGTATCCAATAATTTTATATGTATGTGTGTGAGTGTGTGTATTTTCATCAAGCGATATATGAACAGCGAGACGCGTAGTCGCT